AGTAGTAGTAGTAGTAGTAGTAGTAGTAGCAGTAGTAGCAGTAGCGGTAGCAGTAGTAGTAGTAGCAGTAGTAGTAGTAGCAGTAGTAGTAGTAGCAGTAGTTGCAGTAGTAGTAGTAGTAGCAGTAGCAGTAGTAGTTTTGTTGCCATGATGGTTGCGGTTTGTTTCATGTCAATCTACAACGTTAACGACGTGTTTTAAACAGTTTCAAACTGCGACAGTGATCCAAGAGAATATAGAATTCACTCGTACCGTATAGATGAGAATGCAGTTTAGTTGAAGGGAACATCATGTCGTATCCTGCAGAGTTAAAGTCACTCTGCTTCCCACCAAGAACCAAACAGTAGGAAACGTTGCACCGATGTAAAATATAAAGCTTTTAAAAGTATTTCAACAGGAAATGTACGTGATGTGAGAATGACTGAGTGGGATTCAGTGACAGAGACAAAACAGACTTTATATAACAAAGCAGAGGATTATCACCCCATTGCCCATTGTCTCTACTGTGAATGCATCAGTGTGTGTGTGTGTGTGTGTGCGTGTGTGTGTGCGTGTGTGGCGGTGCTGAGTCGTGTCAAGGCTTTTCGTCTGGAGGTGGATCGTTCATCTCCTCAGCGGCGACAGCAGACGTCAACCTCTGTGTGAGTGATGGCTCAGAATCTGAACTAATCAGCCTGCTGCACACACACACGCACACACACACGCACACACACACGCACACACACACACACACAGACTGTGACCAGTGGTTTGGTGTTTTGGAGATGGATCTTACTGCGACCTGTCATTTTTCTTTTTGTGGAAGAATAATTCCTTGAAAGTTTTGTTTCTTTAGTTTTATTGATACGAAAACTCGCATCACAGTTTCTATGGAGAATAATAATTTACAAACATTTAAATGACATCTGCTCATGATGTTTGATTCCCAGTTCGTGTTCCACCTTAGAATGAAGCACTATTGAGCGTCTTCTGGAACCGGGTTTCCTGTTTAGTGGATGTTGGGTTTCTGAAAGTGCATCAGAGTTAATCTGGAGATTTACTGCCTTTAAACTCTGCGTTTGCATGCGCGTGATGGCTGCTTCATGTATCCTGCGTCCGTTTGAAGCGCTGGTTGTAAACGTCCTCATGAACGAACACATCTCCTCACACAACATGAGGTTAAATAGCATCATATCTCCGGCCTTAGTGTCATCAATAGCAGGGATTGTGAGAATAATGTCACTATAGTTTTAAAAGAAAGGCATAATGTTAGTAATAATATAGTCAATTTCAAAATAAAAGCATATTATTTTAATAATATTACAATCTTAACATTTTACTGTTAGTCATAAAGCCTCATAACATTTAAATAATCTTCTTAAGCAAAAACATTATCAGTTATGACATCTTTAATCTTTAATAGGTAAAATGTAAATTTATTTTAACATTTTTCATTAACCCTATTGACATATTTTGAAAGGTGCTGAGTGAATGAATTAAATTAAATGTATGTGACTTAAAAATTAGCATTTAGTTAAAACACTTTATTTCTCTTTGTCGCCCTCAACTTTGGAAAATCACATTCAACTTCTCAGTTTGTCACATCGTCTTTCTGCAACAATATATTTTAATCTTTAGTCTTTTCTGTTTCAGACAGCCACCTACTCGGCCTGATATATATTTTATATTCATATATTTTGTGCTTTCTCTGGAGTGTAAGAATTGCGGACTGGCGAGGTGGACTGGACAGATGGTTTTCATCCACACTTGGAGGACCTGAAGGGAGAAACAGAGCGTGGCGTCCTCCCCGTCCTCTGTTAGATTCTCCTCACTTGTTTCTTCTTCTGATTTCTGCTGCTCTCATTTATTCCTGTTGTTCTTCAGCTTCCTTCTCACGTGACTAATATAATCCTTTCCTTCTCATTCTATTCATCCCCCTGTTTTCTCTTCCAACACTGTCCCTTCACCTCCATTCCGTTCATATTTTCATCTCTTATTTTTCTTTTTGCTGTTTTCACTTCCTTTATTTTGAAGGTTTCTTTACTTCCCTTCCCTGCCTTCTCCTTTGTCTCTTTTTGTATTCCTATTTTATTATCTCTCCACCTTCTCCTTTGTCTCTACTATCATTCTTCTTCATCATTTCTTCTCTTCTTTAGTCGCCTGCTGTTCAGTCTTTTCCTGGAGAGGTCTCCTATAAATGACATCCCCAGACAACGAAACTGCATCGTCAATGTTTTGTCTTTGCAGGATTACGTTTGTCTTTTTATGTCCTATCCGCTGTAGGTGTTACCTTCAACCTTTGACATTACACATACATAACTTCAATTATGTAACAAAAGTACTTTTAAGCTAAGCTAACTAGCTTTGTAGCGTTTTCACAACGTTAACCACGTGTTCAAAATGGCGACCGTAAGAGAAAATATGTTTATCTCAAAACATAATTCAGAGAGCAGTTTAGTTAGTCCTAAACTATCAATTTTGATATTACCATTTTTCGTATGAATATGTACACATAAGAGACTTTGAATGTGAAAATAATGTGAATAAATCAACAGTTATTTTGGAGTTTGTGGCTGAAACAAACTTTGCAGCTCACAGTGTTTTTTCTTTCCCTCCTCTCAGTCACACTCAAACTTTTATGACACTGGAAAGAGAAGAACGAAATATTTGGGGAATATTTTCCACTTCAGTGCAGTATTCCTCCGTTATTTCCACATTTCACACTTTCAAATAAAAATGAAATTCTGTCTCTGACTCATGCAGCATTTCAGTCTCCAGGCAGACGCTTCGCAACGTCTCCCGCTCTACATTTCAAAGAATATGCGATTCTGAATTTAGATCTATTCTCCGTTCATTAGACGGAGACATTCCGCCCTCTTCTGCTCTACTTCATTTCCTCTCCCCACCTCCTCCACGTGTATCTCTTCTCTCCTCCTCTCTTTCTCATCTTTCCTTTTACAACGTGAATCCTGGAGAGAAACAGGATGTTTCCGTGATGAAAAACAGAGCAAAGTGTCGGAGAGAAAGACACGGATGAAGAAATGAGAACGATGAGAAGATAAAGAAAGAAGGTGTTACGGGCAGACAAGCAGAACGATGGAGGAGGGTTTGTTGATATTCTTTGTACTTTTCATCGAGACAATTCTCACGTCAACAACATACACACTTTGTGTCTCACATAAAAATGAAGCGAGGTGTTTGCAGTCAAAGCAGAGCAGTGAGCTCAAGACATTCACACGACGCACTCCTCTCTCTGCAACGTATATCAAGCGCACCCTTTCGATGTTGGGCCGGGTACTTAATGCTGACAGTGCTGCTGCTGCTGCTGTCACTGCTGCTGTCACTGCTGCCATTTTAAAACCTCCACCACCACACCAGCATCCACCTGTCAGTTCTGAGTCTACTTTACTCTGCGGAGGAAGTTACTAATGTAACTCTGTTTCCTGGTTTGGTGCTAGTTATAGGGATAGTATTGATGAAAGTTATTTGTTAGTATTCAGTCTTTGACTTAGAGTACAGCAGGTCAGCTGAACATGGTCATGTTAAAATGTGCTTCAAGTCCAGCGTACAAATCGACATATATGGAGAATAAAGGTCCTTGAGTGTCAACAGAATAAGCTGAAGGCTCCAGCCAGATGTGTGAATATTTGGTGATGAAAATATTGAGCGACTCTTTCAAGAGAAGCCGTCATGATATCAACAACTGCTGATAAACTGTTATTCCAGGAAACTTCATAGAAAATCACAAACTGCCAAAATAACGTGTTCCCAGAAATATCACTGCATTTTTCATGAGGGTCTAAATTCTCCTGATGAGATGGAGATTGTAACAGTGTGGAAGCCAAACAGCGAGAGCCGACAGATGGAGAGAAAAGGAGGGAGACACACTCACCTGTGTTGTAGTGCTTGGTGCAGTAGCGCAGGTCCTTTTCCTCTTTGAGTAAGAACTGAGGTAGCGTCAGGCCGTCAGCCACCTGCACAGCTCCCTTCTCGTCCCACTCGAATATGAGGTCGTTCATGGTGTAGCCGACTGGAGGAGAGAGCGAGGAGCAGGAGGTTAGACTGCTTTCATCGCTGTGTGGGTCATCTGTGAGGTGATGATCTTTCTGTCTCTGGTTTGGGGTGAAGGGTCACCCAGTGAGAGGTTTTGGTGCTTTAAGTACCAGTTCAGCACCAGCTGAGTATTCTGTGATCTGCCCAACCGTGTCACGACGTTAGCTAACAGCAGCGCCCACAGCTCTCTAACCTTCCAGTGATCGTTCACATCACCAGCAGTTAAAGTTATCTAACTCATCATAGAGAAGACTATGATTTATGCATTTGTCATAAAGGAAGGAAATAATAAAAAGAAAGAAATGGAGGAAAGAGAGGGAAAGTAGGAAGATAAGAAGGAAGAAAGGCAAGAAGTAGAGAATGAAGGAAGTAAGAACGTATGAAAAAAAGAAATAAAGAGCAGTAGAAGTAAAGACAAAATGAAATACAGAAGGCAGGAAGAAAATAGATGACATATCACATAACACATACACAATTACACGTGTTGTAACCCAAACCTCTGTCTTGTCCTCAACCTATTCATGTAGCTGTGTAAAAAAGCAAACATCTAAACCTATGCTGGACCTTTATTTTGAAAAGGCACTGTGCATGTAATGTAGAGACTGATATATGCCGTCACTGAGCGTCACAGTTAGACTGTAGAGCCACCAAGCGTCCTTATTTGACCAGTTTGTGGTGAGAACATGTCGTCTAGTCTCCTCGGCTCATTGATCTTTATCTGAGTGACGTTTGTCAGAATCTACATGTGCGTCTCTGCAACAACAGTAAACAGAACCGTGCTGCGGGTCGATAGAGCCGCGGCGCTGTCCGTGGTGCTGAAGTAGCAGACGGATTTGTATCTGCAAATCAGAAGCAACAGAGTCGTTCATGAGGCGCCCCCCCCCCCCGCGCCCACCCCCGCTATCATCCACTGAGCATTGTGTTGTTCTTCCTCTCATTGTTGACCCTTAAACTACAGAGCTCTTTGAACTCCTGTTGCCGTGACTCATCTCATGTCTGTTCAAATAATGAAAAGGCCACAGAGAAATCTATATCATATCTGTGTGTGTGTGTGTGTGTGTGTGTGTGTGTGTGTGTGTGTGTGTGTGAGGTGACTCACAGCTCTCCAGCTGCATGATGCAGGTCTGGACGTCCATAGGGAAGTTCTTCAGATCCATGGGACAGGCCAGGATCAGTGTTATTCTGCAAACACACACACACACAGACACACACACACACACACACACACACACACACACACACACACACACA